ACATGGAAAGATCTATGGAGAATTTAACTGAATTGATACACTTAAGGGTCAGTCATTGGTTGAAATTTTTGGAGCTTTTTTCAGAGTTCTCCATGGCTGATCTTTTGAGAAAGTGGAAAGAAGTTGCTACCTCGGCTCAGTGCAAAAGGACCTCTAGACCTTCTTGGTCCCCCCCTCCTTCAGGATTCATGAAACTGAATTTTGATGGTTGTAGTTTAAGGAATCCTGGGCCTTCTGGGATTGGGGGAGTTTTCAGAAACGAGGCTGGGATTATTTTTTCTATGTTCTCTGGCCCTATTGGTGAGGGTGACTCTCTTAGGGCAGAGATTTTAGCAGCTTTGGAAGGAATCAAAAGAGCAAGAGAATTAAACATTCGGTGCTTGATCATTGAAGGGGACTTGGAGGTGGTAATTAGGTGGTTGAAGGAAAAGACAGCAATGGTTTGTGGAGCTACAGAAATGAAAAGAAAAAATTTAAATGGCTGAGTAGGGATATTGAGGTGAAGTACAGCTAGGTGAAGAGAAGTGCTAATTCCATGGCTGATGGGTTAGCCAAGCAAGGGGTGCTTAAGGATTCTTTGTTTTGGGCCACTTTTTAGCTTTCCTTCTTGTTTTCTGTTGTGGGGGAGTTAAGATATTTTACCTCCCCTCTCTTGTACTCAAAGTTTCACAATTTTTATAATCTAATAAAACATTCTGTTATTGATAAAAAAAATAATTATTTTTATACACAGATATATAAAAAAATTGTTGAAAACTTTGGAAACATATAATTACTATCATTATCATCATCATCTAAAATTGCCACGTGCAAAGCATGTGTACACTTACTAGTGAAATCAGAAGAATGATTGCTGTGAAGTATCGAATTTTAATAACTTAGAATGCTTATTAATAGTTGTCTAGAAAAAAAGTGCCAGTGTTGGGTCACCTACCCTAAATGCCATGACATATAAAGTGGTGCCTATCTAAGTGGTGTGCCTACCTAGATGACAAAAATCACAAGGTAGGCACCTTGTTGCAATATTATTACTATGGTTGCATCCTACATCCTATTTGGATGTGTATAGATACATCGTATCATATTATCATGAGCTATGCTTTATTTTAAGGTTTTACTATTTAAATATAAAAGGTCCAAGGATTTTGAAAAGAAAATGGAAAGAACAAAGGTTCTTTTCCTTAATCTTTTATTAGTATAAAGTTGTAACTATTTTAGTTGCTAATAATTTTTGGCATGTAATTTCTCTATCAAGTATGTGTTAATTATTATATTGTTACTGTTGTGTTTGAGATAGTGGTATTAATGGATTTAAAATGATGTTGTCTTTAGATATAATGATTTGTCATATTTTGACAGGAAAAATAATATTATTATCAAAGAGCTAACTTTTTTTAATTTATATACATGATAATTGGTAAACTTTTAGGGAACCAACCTATAGCTTAGTGGTTTTTTTTTGGGAGAACTGTAAGGTAAAGTATTTCATTAATAACAAAAGGGCAGAATACAAAAGGCCCCTGTACAATAAGAGACTGTACAGCAGAAATAGACAGAAGGACTCAGACAAGCCAGCCTCTGAAAAGCAACCCAACAAAAACACTAAGATCTTACAAAAAGGAAATCAGGCTCAAAAAAAGAACAAGTTTGCCTGTTTTTAAAGAGAGATGGTTTGTTAGCCACAAAAACACCATCCCCATAATCCTGTTGAACACCTCTTCTTTTGATTCCTGCCTGCCACAAAAATTTTCAAATTTCTTTCACCCCATACTGCTCAGAAAACAGCAGTGGCATACTCCATGCTACTTTTCCAGCCTTGCTGAGGCCTCCTCGGAACCAAGCCTCTAGGAAGCCCTTCACATCCTGTGGGAAGCAAATATTAACTCCGAAAATCTCTAGCAGTCTTGTACAAACCCAGTAAGTGAAGTCACAATGCAGTAATAAATGACTGGTACTTTCCACATTTCCATTACAGAGTATGCATTTCCAGATCTTTCACTTCAAAACCTCTTCTAGATAAATTCTCCTTGGTTAAAATCTTATCCAGCACTGCAGACCAAACAAAAAAAGCTAGTTTTGAAGGAACAGGCCTGATCCAGATTCTGTTGCCGGAAAGTGAGAGGTCTCTTCCCTTGACAGGTAGTTAAAAAAGGACTTTACTGTGAAAGAGCCCGACTTCTCAAACAACCACTTCCTTTTGTCCTCCCCTGAACCCAGGACCTTGGCATCATACGAAATCTGCAACAGGTTGACTAGAGACTCCACCTCCCAGTCATTCAAATTCCTCCTGAACAGAGGGTTCCATGTAACAAAACCATTTTGCCTCTCTAAATAGTCTGCTACGGAAGCATCCTTATTTACAGCTATCTCAAACAGATCAGGAAATAAGGTCGATAGAGGGCTCTCACCGCACCAGTAATCCTTGCAAAACAGCACTCTATGACCATTTCCCACTTCATATTTAATGCCCTTCAAGAACTGAGGACGAATTTTCTGGATAGCCTTCCAAACTGAACAACCATAAGGGGACTTTGCCTCTTCTGTTTCCCACTCCCTGCTGCTAAAGCCATACTTTGCCACAACTAATCTTCTCCATAGGCTGTCAGAGCGCTCGTTGAATCACCACAGCCATTTCCCTAGCAAGGCTGAGTTGACATCTTTCACTGATTTTGTCCCTAAACCTCCTTTTTCCCTGGGTGAGCAGATTCTCTTTCAGTTTACCAAATGACACTTAGAGTCCTCCTTCCAACCCCTCCACAGGAAATCTCTCATCCTTTTTTCTATAGCTGCAGCCCATTTAGCTGGAATAGGAAATAAAGACAAATAGTAGACAGGGAAGGAAGATAAGACACATTTAATTAAGGTTACTTTCCCCCCTTTTGACGAGTACTTGGATTTCCAAGAGGCCAGTTTCCTATCAACCTTCTCAATAATAGGTTCCCAAATGGATTTAGATTTACAGCTTTCACCCAATGGCATACCCAGGTATTTTGAAGGGAGTTTACCCACTTTACATCCCCAATCAACCGCCCAAGAATCCAGGTTTGCCACTTCCCCAACTGCCAATATCTCACTCTTTTTGATGTTGATGTGTAGGCCTGAAACCACCTCGAACCATCTTAGGATTGCCTTAACATTCCTAAATTATTCCCAAGATGCACCACAGAAAAAGAGTGTGTCATCTGCAAATTGCAGAAGAGGAACCTCTACTTCCCCATTTCCTACTTGGAAGCCTTCTAGCAATCCTCCCTCCGTCACTCTCTCTACCATTCTGAAGAGGGCTTCTGTTACACATATAAATAAGAGCGGGGAGAGGGGATCTCCCTGTCGAAGACCCCTAGTGCTTCCAAAATGCCCAAACGAGGTTCCATTTATGAGAACTGAAAATGAAGAAGAAGAAAGACACTTTTATCCAATTTCTCCATTTCACCCCAAAATTCATCCTCCTCAACATGTAATCAAGGAAATTCCAATTTGTACAGTTCTCTTGCCTAGGTGACTGGGTGCACCACTGTTGCCTAGATCATATATATGCTTTAGTGATTATGCTTATTATCTACTCTAATAACTTCGGAACTGCGAGTTTTAATTTGAAAATGCAAGTATGGACAATTTGACTTTAGGCTTTATGATTTTTCTAGTTATTTCCTCTTTTTGGAAAAGTTGGCTATATTTCTATTTGTTTTATTTTAAAGCATATACTTCTTAGGCTTATGCCTTTTGCATTCTGGTTTATACCTCATGCCTCAAGATAGTGTGAAGCTTCATATCACATCTCTGCATTTTAAAACATTTCTCATTGTGTAGGTTAGTTTCAATAGTTCTCTGGTTGTCTTGGGACTATTAAAATAAACACTCACATGGCACAAAAAGTAGAGTTATATGACCTCATTAACCATCTTGAAATGACCTCTCTTTTTCTCTTTCTTTTATTTCAATTTCATTTTCTTCTTTACAATAGTTGGCCTTTTATTTTGCATTTTTTTAATTTCAAAGCCTTCTTATAGTCATCTCCAATGGTATCTCTGTTTGTGAACTTATTTATTTCTTTTTTATGCTAGGGGTCTTGTATTTCTATTCTTTTATTTAGTTATGATCCTAAAGAATGTTCAATCTGCAACATAGATGTCTGGCTAGTCTGCATTAGTGTTGATTGGTTTTCTCAATCCTCTTGGTAGGTTAAACCATTGTCCCATGGACTCGTCTTATGGATGGTACAATGGGCTGGGAATGTATTGGGTTTTAACACCTCAAAGATTCTTTGGTTTACTATTTCAAATTATTATTTATTTTCCCATTTCTTGTTTGATATAAACTAATACACACCCTGAATTATGACTTCAGTTCTTTTCTAAAGCATTAGGTCATAAAGGTGATATTTTGCATTTATGCATATGAGTTTAGTGTTATGCAATGCACTCAGTTCTTACTTCCCCAATTAGTTCCTTGTCATTGCTGTTTCAGCTCCAGAGCCAGTTTCCCAGTAGATATCCTGACCAACTTGTTTTGTCAGTCTCCATGTAATTGCATGGTTGCATCTCAAACCGGACTGTGAATTCATTTTTCACATTGCCAGGATATATCAACACAAGCAATGATTTTTGTGGTCATAAAATATCTTGATGGTTTTGATGTTTTTTGGGTGCAATGATGGTTTTGATTAAGGCCTTCGGTATTTCACAATGTTTTGTCTCCATACAGTCAAGGGCACTTTCTTCTGGTTCCCAAACCTTTTCTTCAATGGAATTTATTTTTGTCCAAGCAGATTAGAGACTTCCTTCCCTTTAACATTGAGTTGGATAAATGTCACTGATTACCAATCTGTGATATTTATTGGATAACATATGGAAGTGTTTGGAGATTCTGCGAAGCATTAAAGTTTGATATTTCTTTCTAATTGCCTGAATCTGATACTGAAACTTTAACATTGAGTTGGCTCACGTAACTTCTCCATGCACATTGTTCTTGTTATTATTGATAACTTATAGTTTGCTTCTCAGGAATTCAGATGTATTGAGGGCTAGCATTGATATAATTGATGGACATAATAGAATCAATCCTCAATATTCCGGTTCAAGATCCACCGGAGGAAGACTTCTCTTCTGCTGATTTGAACTGGACAAAGTTTGGAACTGCTGAGCATCATGATGATGTGGCCCTTATTCCTTATGACCGAGTTGATGCATTTATAATTGGAGAATGTTCTAACGTGGAATGCCCGACTAGGTTTCACATTGAGAGAGGAAGAAAGAGGTCAAAAGGCAGCCTAAAGACATACAAGAGTGATGAGTATCTGGAGTATAGACTGTAAGTCTTCTATCTCATGTTTCTAACTTTCAATTCCTTTTTAGCAATTTTTTGTTGGGTCTCTGCAAATTGGAGGCACCATGTTGTATCATTGTTGCTAATATCACATCTTTGAAGGTCTATGTATTGACAAATGTGGTGCAATTGGTCTCGTCTAACTTGACATTAATTTTTTTTTTTGAAGAAGGTAAAGTAAATTTTTATTAGAACAGAACCAAATTACAGAATACAAGAGGCCCCTAAAAACAGCAATTCCAGGGGCCAGGAAACCAGAAATTCATTACAACTTAAAAAACTGCCAGCAATCAGCTGGGCTCCAAATATCCTTGGTTGAACCCCTAATGCAGCGGCATTCCAAGAGATTAACTTTCCAAAAGTACAGGACAACAGTTGATCCACTGCACAGTGCCTTTTTCTGGAAGATTCTTCTGTTTCTTTCAGCCCAAATGGTGCTGATTACTGCCACAGGAATTGAGACCCACACCCTTTTTCCTAACTTGGATAGGCCTTTCTAGTCCCAGCACCACAAAAGATCCAGAACAGTCACATGCATAACCCAAGAAAGATGCCAAGAGGAGATGAAGTGGTTCCAGATTTTAGTGGAGATAGGACAGTGCAGAAACAGATGATTGCTGTCTTCATCCCCTTGATTACAGAACACACAAGACAAATCCTGAAGCTGTTTACCTCTCCTCTCCAGATTCTTCTTGGTAAGACACTTATTCAAAGCCACAGCCCAGAGCAAATGAAGTGACAGAAAATAGACCATCGTTACTCCAAGTTCAAACCCAGGAGTCTTCTTCTGACAAATTCAGGGACTGGCTGAACCACAACTCCAGCAGCTCTGACACTTGATCTAGTTCCCAATCCTGGAAATGCCATATGAAAGAGGGGCCCCATAGGCATGTGTTATCTCTAACCTTACAGCAGTCAGCAACCAAGACTTGGTTCTCTGCAATTTGGAACAGCTGAGGGAAGTCAGGGAACATCTCTGCAAGAGGTCTGTTAATACACTACACACATCCTTCTAGAAGCTAACCCTATGACCATTCCCCAACTTTACAGAAAGACCACTACTCATTAGAGGGAAGACCTCCATGATTTTCTTCCAAATAGAGCACCTTAGATAGATCACAGAATTGGTAGTTACCCAATCCCTGTCTGAGTTATATTTGGCTGCAACTAATTTCCTCCACCAGCTTCCTCTTTCTCTGCCAAATTTCCAGATCCATTTCCCCAAAAGAGCCTTGTTGAAAACCTTCATTTTTCTGACCCCCAGACCAACTTTGTGTTTCGGGGCACAAACTTGATCCCAGCTGACCAAGTGCATCTTCTTCTCTTCTTCCCACCCTTTCGATAGGAAGTCCCTCTGCAATTTTTCCATTCTTTGGGCCACTTTCTCTGGCATTGGGAAGAGTGACAGAAAGTAGGAAGGCAGATTAGATGAAGAACTCTTAAGGAGAGTAATTCTTCCACCCAGAGAAAGATCTAGCTTGACATTCATCTTGATTTTTTTTTGATCAATAACTGTGAAATGTTAAATTTAAGAAGAATTACAAAGCAAGGGGGCTAAACAATCTTAGCTCCCTAAAACAGTCTATGAGCAGCAAATACAATTACAATAAAGCCCAAAACAAAGAGTTTCTATTAA